TTCAGGCAATTCTCCTGCCTCAGCCTCCTGAGTAGCTGGGATTACAGGCACGCGCCACCATGCCCAGCTAATTTTTTGTAGTTTTAGTAGAGACGGGGTTTCGCCGTGTTGACCAAGATGGTCTCGATCTCTTGACCTCGTGATCCACCCGCCTCAGCCTCCCAAAGTGCTGGGATTACAGGCTTGAGCCACCGCGCCCAGCCTTATTAATGAGTTTTAAAAATGTTTTACATATTCTGGATACAAATCCTTTATTTATAAAATATATGATTTGCAAATATCCCAGTCTTGGCTTGTCTTTTTATTTTCTTTTTATTTTTTTTTTTAATTGAGATGGAGTCTCAGCCTGTCACCAGGCTGGAGTGCAGTGCATGATCTTGGCTCACTGCAACATCTGCCTCCCAGGTTCAAGTGATTCTCCTGCCTCAGCCTCCTAAGTAGCTGGGACTACAGGCTTGTGCCACCATGCCCAGCTAATTTTTGTATTTTTAGTAGAAATAGAGTTTCACAGTGTTGGCCAGGATGGTCTCGATCTCCTGACCATGTGATCCACCCACCTCAGCCTCCCAAAGTGCTGGGATTACAGGTGTGAGCCACCACACCCATCCTTTCTCTTTTTTTTTTTAACTCACCACTGTACTAACAAGCACTCTTCATTTTCTTGGTGGTGGTGGTTGAATTGTAAAAGTTTTTCACTTGATGAAGTTGTTTATCAGTTGTTTCTTTTATAGATCATGCCTTTGGTGTCATATCTTAAGATCTTTTTGAAGTCTTCTTGTTTTATTCTTACATGTATGTATGTGATCCACTTTCTGTTAATTTTTGGGTATGGTGTAAGGGAAGCATCTAAATTCATCTTTTCATGGGTGGATTTCCATTTGTCCCAGCACCATTTGTTGTAAAGAGTATCTTTTCCCCCACTGAATTGCTTTGGTACCTTTGTCTGAATCAATTGGGCATAAATACAAGGGTTTATTTCTGAACTTTTAATTCTGTTCCATTGATCTGTGCCTGTCCATGATTGTGTGGTATTGATTACTCTGGCTTTAAAGTTTAAATCAGGTAATGTAAGGCCTCCAACTTTGTTCTTTTTCTAAATTCTTTTGACTTTTTTGGATACTTTGCATTCCTATGTAACTTTTATGATCAATTGCTACAGAAAAGCCTTCTGAAGTTTTAAATAGATATTGTGTTTAATTTACAGATCAATTTGAAAATTGCCATCTTGACAATATAGTCTTCCAGACTGTGAACGTGGAGTTTGTGTCCATTTATTTAGATCTTCCTTGACTTCTCTTAGCAATGTTTTGTCATTTTCAGTGTATAAGTCTTGCACTCCTTTTGTTAAAATGTTCGTATTTCTATGCTATTATGAATGGAATTGCTTGCTGAATCTTGTTTCAGACTTTTTGGTGCTAGTTTATAGAAATACCATTGATTTTTGTTTATTGATCTTATATCCTATGACCT